TCGACCTGCTGGGCTCAGGTGATCCTTCCACCTCAGTCTTCCAAGTAACTGGAACTACAGACATATGCCACCATGCCCAGCTACTTTTTTTGATTTATTGTAGAGATGTGGTTTCACCAAGTTGCCCAGGCTGGTCTTGAACCCATGGGCTCAGGCAATCCTCCCACCTCGGCCTCCCAAAGTACTGGGATTATAGATGTGAGCCACTTCTGGGAGTTCTATTTTGGAAAACTGATTCATCTATTCCAGGACAGGAACCACACTCCTTTATTTATGATAGCTTTATAATACATTAATATCTGCCATACAAGTCCTCCCTTGCCACTTACCTTTTCCAGCATTTTCTTACCTATTCTTAGACCATTATCCTATTTCTTACCAGTATTTTCTTACCTATTCTTAGACCATTATCCCTCTAAATGAGTTTCAAAGTTATTCTGACAAGTTGCAAAAAGTAATTCCATTGGATTATTTAGGAGAATCATATTAAATTGATTCATTAATTTCCAGGGATGGCCTCCAAATCTAAACAGGGATCTGTGTTTTACTGTCTCATCCCTTAGGGCTCGAGAGGAGGACAGGGAGGCCCCAGTGGCTCCGGTGACATCAGGGTAAGGGGGCAGCAGATTTTGCGGGTAGAGAGATGGTACCAGGAATAAGTGGGATGGAGATCAGCTCTCCAGTAACAATACTAGCATATCCTGGCCTAATCTATATATTGACTCCAGGAATGAGGAAGTGCCAATGTATCTGGGATTTGCCAAATTTCACACCAAATAGTGAAAGCAGGACTCAGTAGGAACCTACCTCTCACTTGGGGAGAGACGAACCAATCTACTTGCATGCCCTCTCAGCTTCTGGCTCTCCAGCTAGCACCACCTATCTGACCAACGCAAAACATCAGTCCATATGGGGTCCTTCCATTTGAATCAATCAGTCCAACAGCCTGGCTCCCTCCTGCTTCAGAGGCAGGGGAAAATTTAGATACTTTGGTGGCAAAGGTCCTTCCTGCTGGATTTTGGGCAGCCTGTAGGAATTAATATAAACAGAAATGGTGATGTTATCTATACAGATCATAAGTGAACAGTAACTCCATCCATAGGAGATGGAAATGAGACCTGCCAGGGGAGGTGGAGCTACCCTGAGAGGAGGATCTCTTTCTCGAGGCCCCAGGAAGTCCTCTGTCATGCTCATGTGTCAGTCCCTTGATCCAGGAATCCTTCACTTCCACTCTACTACCCTTCCTTCTCACCCCCAGCCTGCCGGCCTCTCCACGAACACGTCTCCATTTTCTCTCCCTAGGGAATAAGCAAAGAAAGCGATCGTGTCCTTGGAGGCTCCCAAGGCAATTATCAGGTGAACCTAGGGGTAGGCAGGGTTGGCTTTAGGAAGAGGGATGGTGGAGTGTCCCAGGAGCCTGAGAAAGAAACAAAAATATCAGTTTCTTCTTGCAAGCTGCTCTGAATCTGTGTTGGGTGACCATCAGGAAATCAAAACAGGGATCTGGGATCCCCATCTCCCTCTTTGATTCATTCATTCCCTCCCTCCTTCCATCTTGGATCAGAGTCATATTACCCTTGCAAGAGGCCAAACAGACAAAAATAACAGAAGAATGGTCAAGGGTATTTTTTTTCAAAAGTCACTTTGAAGAAGGCAGGCATTGAGAAGTCAAAGTCACTGACCTTGAGTTAGAAGGTGGGGCTCAGATGCCAGCTCTGTCACATCATCTGCATCTGAGGCAAGTCAGCCAACCTAAGCCGGGACTTCCTGGGGTAAAATGAAGACAGTGACGACTGCTCACCTTTCACGGTTACCGTAGGGCTTTCTGGGTCATAACTAGTCCAAGGTGGTGCAGAATCAAAATGCTGGAGACAGGTTCCAAGGCAAACTGCTGGGCACCTCTGAGTTTCAGTGTCCTCATCTGTAAGACGGAGACCTCTCCCACATAGGAATACGGCAGGATAAGGCACGGTGCCTGGCAGGCAGTGGGACGTCACATTAACTCCTTTGTGACTGGTGGTGTTTTGGGGACAGGAGAGGCCGGAGGCAAGGGTGTGAATATGAGTCAAGGGATCGGTAGGGCTACATGGTGGCGAGTCATTCTAGGAAGGGCTTCTGAAGTAGGACTTTCAGAGGCTGTGGAAAGAAGAGAAGGTGGCTTTACACAGGGGAGGACAGGGAGCCTGAGCAAGGTGGAGATGAGTGACAGGCTGACAGGTGGCATGCACAACAGGATGCATAAGCCTTGACCATCAGTCCCCCTTTCCCCCACCCAGGGGCAGGGGTCCAGTGGGGACAGTAGAAGAGATGGAACTGTCGGTGGAGTCAATACTGTGGTGAGTGGAGGCAGTCCTCCACCGTGGGCTGGGACCATGGTGCCAAGCAATCCTTGCCTCCCCTCCTCACACACACATGCTGCCTCTTGCTCACAAAATGGGTTTGTAATCTCATCCCTTTTCTCGCTGGTTCCTTAGAACTCTCAAGCGTCATCTGGGGTCTTCAACTTCGACACTTTCTGGAAGGTGAGTTTTGCAAAATTGCCCTACTCTTTCTCATTTGGAAAATCAACTGTTGTCCCTTGGCCCAACAGTTCCTCCACCCCCCTTCCTTTCATCAGAGTCTCACTCCATCGCCCAGGCTAGAATACAGTGGTATGCTCATGGCCACTGCAGCTTCGACCTGCTGGGCTCAGGTGATCCTTCTACCTCAGCGGAACTGGAACTACAGGCATATGCCACCAATAGTTTTTTAAATTTAATCTAGAGACAAGGTCTCACCAAGTTGCTCAGGCTGGTCTCGAACCCATGGACTCAGGCAATACTCTCACTTCAGCCTCCCAAAGCGCTGGGATTATAGGCATGAGCCACCACACCTAGCCTCAGTCCTCTTTCTAAACCAACACTCAGTTGTGGCCCTTGACCTCTCTTGGCCTAAAGCCCTAAGCTAATTGCATTATGACCCAATTTGGTCATTCTTCTTTTTTTTCTTGGCAGAATTTTAAATCCAAGCTGGGTTTCATTAACTGGGATGCCATAAACAAGGTAAGGGCTGGAAAGCCATGCAATCCCAACCTTTGTGGGAGAGGGATATAGAGAAGAAAACTAAACCTCTGCTTGGCAAGCCAGGGAAACCATGATCCCAGCCCCTAAAAAAGCATTTAGGGTGGTGCAAAAACCAAAAACAAAACACATAAACTGAGGCTGGGAGGCAAGGACAGCAGAGAACTGAAAAGAGAGGGAGAATTTGGGAACAGTTGGGAGTTGAGGATGAACTGAGGGGATGACCTCTTTACTACCTCAGCTTATAGATCTTTGCAGGTTCTGAGCAGGCCTTCCCCTTTAAGACCTGGAAGGTTAAGGGCAGAGCAAGTGGGCCTAAAGCTTAGGGACTAGACTGAAGGAGTCAGGTGGAGCTAAGAGGTCACACGAGGACTGACACACTCAGAGAGAGAAGGGAAAAGGAAGCAAACATTGGCCGAGTGCCTGATGGGTAACAGGTGTTAGTCTGAGCCTTGCACATACACAATCTTAGAAGACAGAGCGCAGAACCCCTCTTTCTTTTCTCCCTGCCCAACCTTCCCTCTTGCAGGGGAACCCCTGGCCAGGCTGTTTTGACACTAGAATATCAGATGCACCATCAGAGTAGACGGAGGGAGCTGGACTGGGCGGGAGGTGGGGGTGG